GGATGGCACCCGGGTTCTCCCCGCTGGCTCTAGCAGATGCGTTTCAAGATGGACTTCTATGGGGGGAAACGGCACTTCTCTGATCCCCGCTGTACGTAGTTTGCCCTGTAACGAACGTGTGGTGTTCAGGACGACGAAGTGAATGACCTATTTTGTGAAACAGCGGTTAGTTCCAGACCGTCCCAAAGCAGATTATTTTTTTAACTAAAATTTGGTATGTACGTTAATTGAGTGGTTACTGTTAGCCAACGAGAACAGTTCTGGGAACTTCCTACAGCAGCACAGGCATCGGTTCTGTATTCCTTCCAGGTATCCAGAAATGTTGTGCGTGTCAGGGAGCACGTGTAGACAAAACGGGATTAACTCATCTGATCTTCTTTTCGATACAGCATTTGGTTTGCAATGGAAGGCCTTTCAGGTGATTCCCTCTGGATCTCTGTCCTTGTACGTCAGAACATATAATGCTTCATATCTGGCGTTGTTTCTTATGGTGTCATAATACAAATATCTTAGCCTACAAAAGCAAGTCTTCACAAATAAACTATCGCTAATCCTCTGTGTTTTCCCATCTTTGTGCAAATGTGTTTTTTTCTTACGTTTATGAATTTTATCTGCTACAGTGAGATGCGACAGCACAGCGCTCAGGGTGCTCTGGTACGCACCGCGTGTGAAATCGGTCTGGATTCATGCTGAAGGCTGCCCGGTTGTCTCAAGTGCGAAAGGGATTACTCAAGCTGGAGAACCAAAGAGAAGCAGTTGTGTTAACCTGCTTGCTTGCTTGCATGCACGTAGCTACAGAAATTTGTGTGCCTTAACTGTTGAACCTCCAGGGGCACCTAGGCTCTGATGGGCCTTTGACTTTCTGATTTACATTAAAGCAGAAAAACAACTGCATGTTAGAAGAATGGCACTAAGACGTGCCCCAGTCTCCTCGCTTTCATTCCCTTTATAGCTGCTGAGAGAGGAAAAGTAACTCTGAGAGCTCTTGCCTACTACAAAAAAGGTAGTAGAGAAGATTACAGGTCAGCTTATGCCCCTTTATTTCTCTCCATGGCCACGTAGGAAATCTCACAGTTGAACCCAGAATGATGAAAGCCATCCCTGACCAAAAGAACTTACAAGCTGATTAGACGCAGAGGCATGGGAAGCTGGATAAAGGCAACTGAAGCTCTTTAGATCAGGACCGTTGTTTATAGTGGACTGTTTTTTTTTGTTGAAGACCTTTAAGCTCCAGTGAAGTTGTTGGCTGGCCATGTCAGTAGAGGTGCCACTGCATAGTTAGATGTACTGCATACCCTGTCAGCTGTCATAATGCCTGAGAGCTAATTCTTCACGTGGCTTTTTAT